AATGTTGAACAGGATACCAGGACAGACTCCCTTCTCTTTTCAAATAGGGCCACTAGAATATTCATAAACGGAGGACGGGAACAGAGAAAAATGGAAAAACAAAAACAGGAGGAGGCCATTCAGCTCATCGAGCCTGTTTCACTACATTATTAGACCTTGGCATATGGTTTAACCCCATTGCTTTGTCCTTTTGAAATATCGCTTAATAACAACAACTTGCATTTATATAGCTCCCCTCACGCCACTTAACAGTGGCGGAGAATGACATTGGTCCAGGGGAGAGGGGGAGGTGACCGTAGGCATGGTTGAAGAGGAAAGTTTTCAGATGCTACCCGAAGATGGGGAAAGGAGCAAGGCGGAGGGATAGAGGAAGAGTGTCACAGAGTTTCGGGATGTAGTGGCTGAAAATGTTAATAATAATAATATCTCTACTACTGAATTATCCGTCCATCTCCCTATTGATTCCACTTCTACAGCTTACTGGGGCAGAGCATTGCACAACTTCACAACCTTCTGTGTGACGAAATATTTCCTGATCTCAGTTCTTACGTCTTAGCTCTGATTTTAATGCTATGTTCTCCTTGACTCTGAGGGATGAGTCATCCACTAATCAAAAGGAACTTTGGTTTTAACATCACATCCCAAAGATAGCATCTTCAACAATGCTCTCCTGTTACTCCACTGTAATCGAAAAGACTTGTGCACCCCGCTCAAGCTCCCTCTATTCTCACATTAAATGGCAACTGCGAAGAGGTCCTAGACTTCTTCGCCTTAAAGATTGAAAACATCCACTTGGCTGCTTCATCCTCTCCCCACACCACGTCCCCTTCTACACCACCCAGACCATCCACAGGGCCTTCTCCCTCCGCCACGGCTCCTGCCACTTGCCCCTCCTTACATTCCGTTGCCCCCATTTAACCCTCTTCCCTCTCAACCACAATCACCCAGATGAAGTTCCCCACCTGCTGCCTCGATCCCCTCCCAGCTGCTGGTCACTCAACTCCCCCTCCTCTTCTCCCTGCTGGCCGACACGGTCAACCAGTCTCTCTCCTCAGGATCTGTTCCACTCCCCCTGAAAACCGCTGTCATCACACCCCTCCTCAAAAAACCCATCCTCGATCTCTCACACTATCGTCCCATCTCCAACCTGCCCTTTCTTGACAAAGTCCTGGAACGCATTGTTGCAGGTCAACTTCGGTCACACCTCTCCATCCACTCCCTCCTCGAGCCCCTGCAGACTAGTATTCGCTCTGCCCACAGCATGAGACAGCGCTTGTCAAACAAATGATGTCCTCACTATCTGTGACCAGGGCTCCCTCTGCCTTCTTTCCTCCTGGATCTCTCTGCCGCGTTCAATACAGTCGACCATGCCTCCTCCACCACCTTTCCTCCCTCATCTACCTTAGTGGGACCGCACTCACATGGTTCGAGTGCTACTTAACCAACTACCTCCATTTCATCTTAGAAAATGGTTTCTCCTCCCGCCCCCTCCCGGTCACCTGCGGGGTATCCCAAGGCTCCATCCTTGGCTCTCTTTTCCTCATCTATATGCTCCCTCTGGGCGATGCCATCCGCAGACACGGGGTAAACTTCCACGTTTGCCGATCGCACACAAATCTACTTTGCTTCCTCCAATACCAACTCCAGGTCCACCGATGTTCTATCAGCTTGTCTGGCAGACATCAAGGCCTGAATGAGTGCAAACTTCCTGCAGCTGAACGTGGATAAGACGGAAGCCATTTCCCTTGGCTCTCGTCAATATCTTCACTCCTGCGGATCAGAACTCCTCAATCTCCCTGGGCTCTCCCTCAGACTCACCAAACCAGTGCGCAATCCAGGCGCACTGGCCTTCCTTCCTCACGTCCGGTCCCTGACCGGGATCGCCTTCTTCCACCTTCGCCACATTGCCCACCTCCAACCATACCTTACCCCAAATGCAACTGAAACTCTCGTGCATGCGTTTGTCACCTCCCGCTTGGATTACTCAAATGCTCTCCTCGCTGGTCTCCCCAGCTCCACTATTCAAAAGATCCAGTTCAGTCAGAACTCTGTCACCCACATACTGACCCAGACCAAACTCCGTTTCCACATCTCACCAGTTCTGGCCCAGGCTCCACTGGCTCCCCATCACCAAATGGATCGACTTCAAGATCCTCACACTCGTGTTCAAATCCCTTCACTCTTTGGCACCTCCCTACCTCTCTGACCTTCTCACTTCCCAACCCACCACTTGGCACTTCCGCTCAATTGGTACCAGCCTCCTGCTGTCCCTCGCACCCTCCACTCCACCGTTGGAGGTCGCACTTTCAGCTACTATGCCCTGAAACTCTGGAACATTCTCCCTCAATCCTTCGTCTTGCCCCCTCTCTCCGCTTTTTCAAGACCCATCTGAAAATCTTCCTTTTCGACCGTGCTTATGGTCACCTCCCCATCCCGCTTCTGGCTCGGAGTCAAGCTCCGCCACTGTTAAGCGCTCTAAGATGCTACCCTGCGTGGAGAGCGCTATATACGTGCAAGTTGTTGTTGACCCACAACCAGCCATGATTTGAATGACCAATTTTATCCGGAGGGTTCTTGACCAGGACACCAGGAGAGAGAAACAGCCTTCTCCTATCCATTAGCTCCATGACACCTCTAATGTCCACCCTCAGGAAGACGGGACCTTAGTTTAATGTCTCATCAGAAGAATGGCACATCTGACAATGACACTTCCCCCCCGCCCCACTTCAGTACTTGGACCGTCAGCCTTGACCAGGGAGTGTCCAACTGATCTCATCCAGGACCATTCCCTCCATAACCCGGAAAAATATTGTCACAAAAGTATTGTGTCCCGGCCCGCGGATGTCTATCAAATAGAGCATCCAGCCCTCAGCAGCCAAAAAGGTTGCAGCATCCTGGCCTAGACTATGAGCTTAATGTCCCTACAGAAGGCTTGAAACCACAACCTTTTGACTTGAGAGGCGAATGTGCTACCAAACTGAGCCAGACTGACACACCATTTATAAAAACCTTTCGTAGAAACTCATTTGTAGCAGTAAACAGCAACTGAGAGATTCAACTCCTGTTTATCACTTTAAGAAAAATGCTTGTTGGAAATATAATTTTTTAATTTTTTTTAAAAGTCACTAGTCGTGATATGTAACTGTGTTTTCTGTCTGGTAGTCAGCAAGAGTGAGTGAGTGAGTGAGTAGATAATCTTTGCATTTGACACAACGCCTTTCACATCAGGAGGATGTTTCAAAGTTCTTTGCAGGATTCACTGTAAAGTGCAGTGACTATACTTTTTGTTGGTGAAAGTGTACAGGTTTTAAAGAAAACTTGCTTTCTCACCAACTCAACTACCCCTCCACACTTGGGATCCTACTCTGTCTTCATACAATCCTATGAGATATTCTCCATTCATAAAAAAATGGTTATATCTCTCCCCTTTCTCTCTATCGTTGACTTTTATTTTACTCTCCCACAATGTAGTTCCACATAGCCTGGGGCCTTGATGCAAGATTGATTCAGATCAACAAAACCCTTTGGTCTATCTTATCTCATCCTTCCAGAATACCCTCCCTACCGTCTTCATTGTCACAGCATCAAGCTACTTGTTAAATGAGTGTCAGTGTCCAGGCCTCAACTACCCTTCCTGTTGCAAACATTAATTACCCTCAGTGAAAAGAAAAACATTCTGGTGTCTGTCCTGAAATTGGCCTTTGGAACTCTAAACCTACGTTTCTTGTTATACTATCTTGGTGTTTTCGGGTTTACTTTTTCAATCCCATTGAAAATGTTATAGACCTCTATAAGGTCCCACCTGAGACTTCATCTCTTAAGACTGAAGAGCCCTGGCTTGTCTAATTGTTGTTCATAGCCTGGGCCAATAGAAAAGTGCAGAAATATTCGTCCAAAGTTGCAGGGAGAGTTGAACATTTTGCAGGAAATTGCGGTGACATTTTTGACAAATTTTGCAGAAAATGGCAGGGAGTTGATTGGTGCTATTGAGGTACATTTTACTGTCAACCTACATTTTTTTACTTTATTGATAAAAACTAAACATGAGGAAATAACACATTGTTGCAAAAAAAATGAATTGCTTGTTTAACAAAAACTGGGTGGCCTTTTTTTTGTGGGGGGAGGTAGGGACACCAACGAGGCTACAGGAGTTCTCAGGGCCCAGCACTGCATACAAACCCAGAGATAGAGAGAGAGATACACACTCACAAACACACAGGCACACCCACAAACACACATACAAGAGGGAAACACAGACACTCACAGAGAGAGAGAGACACACACAGACACTCACAAATGCATATAGAGACATACACACAGACAATCATTCACACACAAACACACAAAGAGATACACAGTCAATCACAACAGTAGGGTCTCCGAGTGAAGCCAATTTGCCGCTTGCCTGTCCTGAGCTGCCCCGGCCACAGTGACGTCAGGTAAACAGCCAGGAGGCCCGCGGGCCAGAAGCTACATTTACAGTGGGTTTGTAGCGGATGAGTTGTTTGTGGTGGATTCTGTGGAGAAAGTGCAGCCACACTTTTCTATTGGACCAGCTCATAGCTCATTCTTCTAACACTGGGGATCATCGTCATTGCTCTCCTCTGCATGTCCCTCTTATGTCGCAATGACCAGAAATGCACACAGTAGTCTAGGTGTGGCCTGACTATGACTGGAAGATAGCGACACTACTGGCAAAAGAAAAGGGAGTTTTTCCCAGTGTCCTGGACAACAATCTGCCCCTCACCCCACCTCTCCCACCCCGCCCCACGCGAGAGAGAGAGAGAGAAAAATAACTTCATGGTTGTTTGTGGGGTATTATTGTGGTTAATTTGGCTGCTGCGGCACTCATACCTACAGATAACAGTCTTCACACTTTGCAGAAGACTCTAATGAGACATTGACGGGATAAGGTGTTATATTGAATGCAAGGATCATTATTATTGTTGTACAGAATCGCTCATCATCACCAGCACTGCGACCCTTTGGTTTGAACTCACCTCTGTAATCCCTGAGACCACAGCTTTATCCACGTTCACCAGTGACTGCTCCTTTGTCTGGAAAACCCCCGTTGACCAGGCCGCACAGCAGTGATGAGCCCAACAGTGACCTGCGGAACCAAAGTCAATTGTCAGCACAAGAAGGTCATTTTTTTTATTAATCTGAACTGGTAATATTTCAGTTTGTTAAAGGGCTTGCCATGGATTGCCTGAAATTTCTCATGACTTGCCCGACCCACCATTGGCGGTCGGGCCTTTGGCTTAGGTGCCCCCCACCCTCTGTAACTCCAGCCTGGAGCCCCTCTGCCTTGCTTTCTCCTTTGGTTGTTTTAAGGCTTGTCTCAAAGCCTTCCTGTTTGACCATGCCTTCGATCTCCTTTCACCTCCACCAACAACCCCCCCAGCCGCCCCCCACCCCCCACCTTTCTCGACACCAATCCCCTGATCGAGTGTAAACCCTTCACTATCCAACGCCTTGGAACATCCTCACGATGTGAAAGGCGCAATATAAATGCAATTTGTTGTTGTGTTCTTTTTTTAAGCTACATTCAGGGCATCTTAACAAAGACACCAAACACTCGCCACACCTGAAGGTTCGAATAAGGCCTGGACACTGATGTCATCGGGAAATCCCACTTGACTGAGTTCGTCCCAGTATCTGCTGGTCTGTTCTTCCAAGTCCCCGGGTATGGACGGCGAGGCTGCAGTGTGGCATGGCGACCTGGTGCAGAGGGTTAAAAGATTAGGACCACTCCAACACATCGCTTGGTTCAATGATAATAAAATATTAATCCTTGTATTTGATACAATGGCTATCACATCGTTGTGCCGTCTCAAAGCACTGCACAGTATATACTGTAAAGTGAATCGACTACCATTTTAAACCTGGCCTTCCTGGCCAAAGCCCTGGAACGCATTGTTGCAAATCAACTTTGTTCACACCTCGCCCTCCATTCCCTACCCGAACCCCTCCAGTCTGGTTTCCGCCCTGTCCACAACACAGACAGCGCTAGTCAAAGTAACAAATTACATCCTTTCTCTGTGGTCAGGGCTCCCTCTGCCTCCTCATCTTCCTGTACCTTGCCACTGCAGTCGACAGTCGACCACGCAATTCTTCACCACCTCTCCTTCCTCATCCACCTTAGTGGGGCCGCACTCGCATGATTTACTTAATCAACTGCCAGCACTTTTTTTCAGGAATTTTTTTTTGTTTTCGCCCCCGCCTAGTCACCTGCAGTATACCCCAAGGCTCTTTGCCCCCTTCTTTTCCTCATCTACATGCTCCCTCTCGGCGTTGTCATCGCATCCTTCAACATGTCATACTTCAACATGTATGCGGATGATATCCAAATCTACTTCTCCCCCTCCAGCTGCGACTCCCAGTCCACTGATGTCCTGTCAGCTTGTTTGACGGACATCAAACCCTGGATGAGCGCATATTTCCTGCAGCTAAAGGTTGGCAAGACGGAAACATTACTCTTTGGCTCCTGTCAACGTCTTCTCTCCTGTGGGTCTGAACTCCTCAATCTCCTCGGGCTCTCCCTCAGACTTGCATATTGTGTGGGTGAAACGTGGCAGCCAATTGTGCACAGCAATGTCCAGAAACAGATAATCAAATTATCATTTATTTAATTATTTATTTAGAAGGGATTATTCCCCCTGGATAATGATCCGCCAATCGACTAACAATCAGATTCCTACTTACTGCTAGGTAAACAGAAGTGTGTGGAATAAGGAAACTTGCCTAAGGTTTTCCTCTGCCAGGGAGTTGAACCCGGGTCCTCTCGCTAACAAGGCGAGTGCTCTAACCAATTCGGTACAGGACTCCACTGCGATTTCATTGACAGTCACGCGCAGTGAAACCCCAATATTCTACATACCCCAAAATAAATGGACTTGTTGGCCCTATTGACATAGTTACATAGAGTTACATTGAGTGCTATGGTACGGAAATATGCCATTTGGCCCAACTAGTGCCTGCTGGCGTTTATACTCCACTCAAGCCCTCAGTCTTCCTTTTCCCTTCTCCTGTACCCTTCAATTTCCTTGTCCCTCATTTATGCATCAAATTTCCTCTTAAATGTATTGATTAGTTTTGCTTCAATCAGAGCCTGGCTCAATGGGAAGCACGCTCCCCTCCGAGGCAGAAGGTTGTGGATTCAAGCCACACGTGGGGACTTTTAGCTCAAAGTCTAGGTCAACACTGGGGAAGTACTTCAATGTCAAGCAGATCCATTCTTCACAGACGTTGAACTGAGGTCCTGACTGGGTCTGGATGCTAGGTGGATGCTAAAGATCCCACGGTACTATTCGAAAAGAGAACAGTTTCTCTCGGTGTCCTGGCCTGGTTAATATTGATCATTCTTTCATAGCTGTTTGTGGGACATTGCCAAATGTAAATTGGTTGCCACGTTCACCTACAAACACACAGTTACTACGCTTCACGATGATGTGATAAAGCACTACGATCTAATTAAATGGCGGAACAGACTCGAAGGGCTGAACGGCCTCCTCCTGTTCCTATGTTATGTCAAACATAAGGATTATTATATTATTAACTTCTGCTAGTGAGTTCCACATTCTCACCACCCTCTGTGTGAAGAAGATCCTCCTAATCCCCTTATTCAATCTATTGCTGGCTATCTTATATTTATACCCTCCAGTTTTGGACTCAACAGCGCCACATCAACGTTGAATTCTTTCCATAATCTTACACACCTCGATCAGGTCTCTCATTCATCTCAACTCTAGAGAGATCTTCAGTGCCAAAATGGTAGCTAAAATGGCCTCTGTCACTTCCTGTATACTGTGCAGCAAAAAGTAATGTTGAATGTGACCTAATTCCTCCCCCCCCCAGTCCAAAGTCAGCTATTTTGGTTTCCTGCGCACTAAATGATGACCGACTTCTGAGTCATCAGCTCGCTACCGGCATCACTTCTCGCCGGAAGTGATGTCATTGGCAACCTGATGACCCAAAGCTGTGCACATCCAAGCTGCCATATTGAAGCACTGATGGAGTCAGTTGTCTTTCTGTGAACATTTGCAATAAATAAGGAAGCATTGACCAGCGATCGCATCGCGTTATAGCACTGGTTATTATTTTATAAACCCCACACTTGCATTTCATAACAGGACTTGACTGTATTGGCAACAGCAGGAAGCCGGTCAGTCCATCAACCTTGCTCTCACCATTTATCATAAGAGGATTATTTATTAATTATTTAATTGTGAAGGGCTTTGAGACGTCATCCTAACGTGCAGTGGTGCTATATCAAATGTAAGGATTATTTTTTATCTCCCATTTAAGCCCCTCTATCAATTTTGCAATGAATTTAGAAATAGCATTTTGGACTGATGTGGGAGTCAGCAACCTTCTGGAAATCTGCAACTGTCTGCCACAACTTGAGACGAGATCTATAAATTCGTTCAAAAGAGTTAATAATAATAAATAATAATTCTCACATTTGATACAGCAGGCGGACTTCTCACAGCACTTTAGTGACTGTGTAATTGTAAGTGAATGGGTCAGCCAATTTGCATGCAGCAATGTCCCACAAACAGCCATGGAGGGAATGACCAATTTTATTTTATTTGGGGGATTATTTACTGGGACACAAGGAAAAATTCCTTTCTCTTTTTCAACTAGGGCCATGAGATCATTAACATCCAACATGAGGCAGACAGGACCTCAGTCTAACATTTCATCCCGAAGGATGGTACCTCAGACAATTTGGACTGTATGAAATAGAGGTAGCGTGAGAAAGTGGGATTAGATGAGGTGGATTATGTGGAGAATATCACAAAGGGCCTGGTTAGCGTGAGTCACACATACTCTCTTTAGGTCACCAGTTCTAATGCCTCGCAAAAAACAATATTTTGCATTTATATAAGGCCCTTCACACAGCATAGAGTCTCAGAGCGCTTAAAGCTCACATTTAACCCCTCAGGGAACGTCACAAACTAGATCTAAGTTTGGAAACCACATGTAAAACCATTAGATTCTGTCATTAACCCTTCTTTCTTTGTTGGCTGCCCCCACCCTTCCGCTCTTGGCTCAGTCGATAGCACTCCCACCTCCAGGTCAAAAGATTGCTGGTCTGACCCCCACATCAGGTCTTTGGGTTCACAGTCTTGGCTGATACTGTAACACAGTGCTGAGAGTGGGGGAGCGCTGCCTTGTCAGCGCACAGTGTTGTCCTAGGCGGACACAAAGTCCTTGTCTGTCCCTGTACAGAAGGATGTTGAAGATTATAATAATCCTTGCATTTGATCTAGCACCTTATGACATCTTCGAGATGTCTTAAAGCACTTCAGAATAAACTGTGAAGTGAATTGACTGTATATTTTGTGAGCAAAACGCGGCAGCCAATTGTGCACAGTAGTGTCCCACAAACAGTCGTGGATTGAGTGACCAAATTATTATTTTTTATATATTGAAGGGACTATTACCCCCGGAAAAGCGATCCGCCAATCAACTAACAATTGGGTTAAGAACATAAGAATTAGGAGCAGGAGTAGGCCATTCGGCCCCTCGAGCCTGCCCCGCCATTCGATAAGATCATGGCTGATCTTCTCACCTAACTCTGATTACCTGCCCTATCCCCATATCCCCTAATCCCTCTGTTTTTTAAAAATCTATCAGTCTCAGCCTTGAAGATGTTCAAGGATTGAACATCTACAGCTTTTTGGGGCAGTGAATGCCATAAATTCACTATCCTCTGAGTGAAGAAATGTTTCCTCCACCCTGTTCTAAAAGGCTGACCCTTAATTTTAAGACTGTGACCCCGGTTATAGATTCTCCTACCAGGGGAAACAGTCCCTCAGTGTCTACTTTATCAGCCCTTTAAGAATGTTATATGTTTCAATAAGATAAGAGTTCAATTAGGGTTCCTTCTTACTGCTAGGTAAACAGAGGCTTGTGGAGTAAGGAAACTTGCCTAACGTTTCGCTCTGCTGGGAATCAAGTTCAGGTCCTCCCACTTGTGAGGCAAATGCTCTAACCACTAAGCTACAGGACTCCAAGATCACATGACAGTATTAGAAAAGAGAAGGAGACTTCTACCAGCATCCTGGCCAACAATCCTACAGACAAATCAGTCATTCAGCCTCATGACTGCTTGTGTGAAACTTTGCTGTGCGCAAAATAGCTGATGCTTTTGCCAACAAAAGCAGTTACTACACTGGGCAGCAAAATTACAGTGAAAGGTTTTGAGACGCTTCGCTGAGGCGCGCGAGAAAAAAAACGTAAGGTTTCTTTTTGCTGCCTTTCACTCCAGCTCCTTATTAGCATTGATAAACCAGGGACAGCTGGCAGCAGACCAGATTCCCGCAGCAGAGAAAACAAAGCTTTGCCCTTGGACAAACTCCAATTTGGCTCCCGGTGAGGATGACATCATTCACATTTCAACATCACTGAGAACTCATGCACAGGATGTCATAGTCAGCAAACACAGTGCATTTCCGTGCTAAAATATACCATACGCTGGTTAGAGGGATGTTCCAAAGGTACACAAAGGACTTGTTGATTCTGCACCAAAAGAAGGAAAATCAGACATATACTAACTCACCTTTCAATCTATCACAACTGACAGATTGTTTGCTGCCTGTCTTTCATTTACCCAGTTTACTAAAGTGTAACTGCAGTCACATTGAATTGTCTAGGTTCAGCCTGGGTCAGGGGCCTTCCCCACCACCGTTCTCAAGCCCCACTTCAAGACTTTGAGCTCAGTGTAGGTGACCCCCTCCCTCACCTCCTTCAAGGCCCGTCTCATGACCTTTCTTTCGACTGTGCCTTCGGTCAATTTCGGTCAATTTCGGTCAATGGAGTTGAGGAACCAACTCGGTTGCAAACCCTCATAGACCAGCGCTTTGGGATGTTTTCCTGACGTGAAAGGTGCTATAAAAATGCAATTTGTTGTTGTTGTTGACACTCCAGTGCAGGACTGAGGGAGTGCTGCTTTGTCAGTCTATAATATAAGGCAAGTCTGGACTGATATTTTCTCCACATCAACCACCTGAATCTAATCATCCCCAATACCCCTTAATATCCTCGTCTGTCACTTTTTTGTAAACTCAAAGCTTTGGACATTAAATAAGAGCATAGAAATCTTCAGGACTGAAATAGTGTGACTGTATCACTGCTTCCACTTTTACCAAGTATTTTATTTTTAATCCCATTTTTCAGCTCTTTCCCCAAATTCCTTTTTTTAACTGCTCAGGTGCTTATCCTGTTTCCCTTTCAAATGATTCTATTGTTCCAGCCTCAATATTATTACAGTATTATTACTGTAGTAATAATTATGTCATTTGATATAGGGACTTATCTCAAAGCGCTTAACAGGATTTACTATAAAGTGGAGTGACTATTTTGCAGGTGAACGGAGCAGCCAATTTGCGGGCAGCAACAGCTAAAGTCTTGTATCTAAAGTCACTATTTTAATTGTAAATGGGATTGTGGGTAACTTGGCAACACAGATATGGTAAACATTATCCCAGTCTGATTAGTCTCTGTAAACAATAAACATCATCCAGGTTTGCTGAAAGCTTCAGGGATAACAATGTGTGAACAATGGGAGACCAAGTAACAACAACTAATTACATTTATATGGCGCCTTTCATGATGAAAGGATGTCCCAAGGTACTGGCCAGTTAAGAGCTTGCACCAGAGCTAAGGGTTAGAATCAAGAGAGTCGTAGGGTAGGGTGTGGGGTTAGGAGTGGGGCCGAAGGCATTGTCAAAGAGGAAGGTCTTGAAACGGGGCTTGAAAGAGGTGAGTCGTAGGGATTCGGGAATGGAATTCCAGAGGGTGGGGGCAGAAAAGCTGAATGGTGGGATGGGCAGAGCGGGGCACATGGAGCAGACCAGTGCCCGCCAAGTGGAGGGAACGGACAGGTTGGTATGGTGTCAAAAGGAGGTCACAGAAGTAGGGAAGAGCATGACTGTGGAGGGCTTTAAAAGTGAAGTATTTGGAGCTCAGGGTTGGAGTTGAGGAACCAAGATCACAGATCGCCACCAATGCTACAACCCCGATACCCCTTCAATCGATTTTGATCGAGCCAAAATGAATTTCAATTTTTTAAATCCTTCTCATATTTCTACAGTAGGCCTTCCAAACTGTTATTGGGTTCCAATTAACATTTGTGAACTTCAATCACGTTCTCTTGCAGTCTTCTCTATTAGAGGCCTCTATTATTCTCTTGCCTGGTCTTTCCTGTATTCCCCGACCAGCCCCACACCACCACCAGAGCATCTCAAATAACAGATATATTATGATCATTCTAATCTGGTTGCTCCATTGACCTGTGCAATCGCCAATGCAGCACTTAGTCGGTGCCGAAGATTCAATCCAAAGAATCTTTGAATGACGCTGGTCACTTCTCAAACTCATCATTTTTTTTATTGATTGATATTATTCTGAATAATCAGGCTCTTGCCAACCTGTGCCGAATACTTTCTGGAATTGGGTAAGCAGGATGCGTCCCTCCAGGGAGAGAGTGTGCATTCCATTCCAATAAACATCTCTGGAATTTCCATGTGTAGGTGTGATGCATGGAATTCTCAGCTTGGTTTGGATACTCTTAAGCACGGTGATGGGTTTCCCCATGGTCAGACATCTGGCTGACCACCCAGAAAAAATACTCACTTTCTCTGCCGCCTTCGTGAGATGGAATGCTGTTTGGGGCTCTTGTCGTTCCCGGCCTCTGGGCTGTAAGCGCCATCTCTCTTGGCTTGAGGCTGGCTCTTTCTCAGTACCATGAAACCCGGAGTTGGGTCAAAGCGCTTCAACTCGCCCTGTCCCAGGGAGCTGCGCTCTCCACAGTAGCACAAGGCACAGAGTTGCTCACTGCTGAAAGAGAGAACAAATTACGATTGTATAGCGCCTTTCACACCAGGAAGACGTCCTAAGGCGCTTCACAGGATTTTTACTATAAAGTGTAGTGACTTGTGTATTTTGTTCGGCGAATAGGGCAGCCAATTTAGCAAACAACAATGTCCTCCAGACAGCCATGGAGTGAATGGCCAATTTTTTTCTTGTCAATCTTTATCTGATTGTCGGCCAGGTCACTTGGAAAAACTTCCTACTCTTTCCCAACTTTAAATGATAACTTTGAAGTTCACCTAAAAAGGCACTGATGGGATCTTGGTTTAATGCCTCATCCAAAGTATTACACCTCCGACAATGTGGCTCAGCCCCCCCAGCACCGCATTGGAGTGTCAGCCTAAACTGTGAGTTCAAAGTCCCCATGTAGCTTGAAAACACAACCTTCTGATTCAGAAGTGAGATTATGGCTACCTGATCCATGCTGACACCTCATCAGGGTTCAGGTCAAAACATCTCAATGGGTTACTTTGAAGTGTAGTTAGTGGCTACTGTGATGTAGTAACCACAGCGGTTAATCTACGCCAGCAAAGCCCCACAATTTGTGAGACGAGTGACAATATTAATAACATCTCGGTGAATTTAGACGAGGAAGGAAATATCATCTTGATCCTGGAGACTTTGCATTAAAATATCTTTCTTTCCATGTGGACATCAATTCTTAGGAACATAGAGAACATTGGCAAACAGGATCAGGAGGAGGCCATTCAGCCCATTGAGCCTGTTCCACCAGGACATTAAAAGATCTTCACAGATCTTTTTTGTCTATCCTTTATCTGATTGTTGGCCAGGTCACTGGAAGAAAGATCTTGACAGATCTTTTAATCCCAATGCCCTGCCCTTTCTAAATATCCCTTAATATCTCAACTACCTAAATGTGTGTGTCTCTATCTCTGACAGGCAAAGCTCTCTGCCGACCAAACCAGAGAATTTAAACGCCCTCACACGCACACCATTTCAAGATCAATTTCTCTTCCTCCCCTCTGGGGATGCTGAACATCTTAAGACCTCTTGGACTCCAAACTCCTTGACCCCCAAAACATGAAGAGCGATGTGGGGAGAAGGGGGAAAAGAGTTTTGTTTTGACTGAAACCCGCAGCCTGTTACAACAACAACAACAACAAGATTCCATTTATTGAGCGCCTTTCACGTCGGGAGGACGTCCCAAGGCGCTGTACAGTTGGGTCAGGACCCGAGTAAGGGGGAAATGGTCAGGGTGAGGGGAGGAAAGGGAGGGAGCGAGGAGGGGGTAGAGAATCGAGAGGGGAGCTGAAGGCACGGTCAAAGAGAAAGGTCTTGAGACCGGGCTTGAAGGAGGAAAGGGAGGAGGCGGCGAAGGCACTGGGGGATAGAGTTCCAGAGCCTCGGGGCTGAGAGGCTGAAGGCCTGGCCACCGATGGTAGGGCGGTTGGGGCGGGGGATGTGGAGCAGACCGGAGCCGGAGGAACGGAGGGTACGGGCGGGTAGGTAGGGGGATAGTAGGTCGGAGAGGTAGGAGGGAGCAAGGCCGTGAATGGCCTTGTAGGTGAGGGTGAGGATCTTGAATTCGATCCTCTGGGGGATGGGGAGCCAGTGGAGGCGAGCGAGGATGGGAGTGATGTGGTCGCGAAGCCTGGTGCGGGACAGTACACGAGCTGCAGAGTTCTGAATGACCTGCAGCTTGTGGAGGGAGGTGGCGGGAAGGCCGGCGAGGAGAGAGTTCCCATAGTCCAGCCTTGAGGTGACAAGGCGTGGACCAGAGTTTCAGCCGCGTGAGGGGTGAGGTAGTGCCGTAGTCTGGCGATGTTCTGGAGGTGGTGGAAGGCGGTGCCAGTTGTGGCACAGATATGAGGGAGAAAGGACAGCTCAGGGTCGAACAGAACCCCGAGGTTCCTGATTGGCTTTGAGAGGTGGAGAGTGCAGCGTTGGATGCTGATGCTGTCAGCGCCTGAGGTGCGGAGGCGCTGACGTGAGCCAATCAGGAGGGCCTCAGTTTTGCGCACGTTGAGCTGGAGAAAGTTATCTCTCGTCCAGGACTCGATGTCGGACAGGCAGCTGTCAGGACATCGGTGGTCGTGGAGTTGAGGGTAGAGGAGGAAAGGTAGAGTTGGGTGTCATCCGCATACATGTGGAAGTTAACCCCATGTCTGCGGATGATGTCACCACAGGGGGAGCATATAGAGGGTGAAGAGGAGGGGACCGAGGACAGAGCCCTGAGGGACACCGCACGAGACAGTGCGGGGGCCGGAGGAAAAACCATTTGTGGAGACAAAGTGAAGACGGTGGGAGAGGTACGACCTAAACCACTCAAGGACAGGGCCTTGAAGGTTTAGGTGGGAGGACAAGCGGTGGAGGAGGATAGCATGGTCGACCGTATCGAATGCTGCCGATAGGTCGAGGAGGACGAGGAGGCAGAGGGAGCCCTGGTCACAGATGGTCAGGATGTCATTGGTGACCTTGACCAGGGCAGTTTCTGTGCTATGGGCAGCACGGAAACCCGATTGAAGGGGTTCGAATAGTGAATGGTTGGAGAGGAAAGAGCGCAGCTGGGAGGCGACAACTCGTTCCAGGACCTTGGATAGGAAGGGGAGGTTGGAGATGGGCCGGTAGCTTGATAGCTGCGACGCATCAAGGGAGGGTTTTTTTAAGGTGGGAGTGATGGTGGCAGTTTTTAAGGGAATGGGAATAGAGCCAGAGGAGAGGGACAGGTTGACGATGTCTGTGATATGTGGGGCAAGGAGGTGGAGCTGGGAGATAAGGAGTGGAGTGGGGATGGGGTCAAGGGAGCAGGTGGTAGGTTTCAGGGAGAGGATGAGTTTGGTGACAGAGGATGGGGAAACGGGTACGAAGGTGTGTAGGGGAGGATGGGTAGGAGTCGGAGTGTGGGAGGGAAGGGGTGGGTGGTGGGTGGATGTTGGAGGGGAAGTGACCGCGGAGCGGATTCCCTTGATCTTGGATTCAAGGAAATCCAGCATCTCCTCGCAGTGAAGGTTGGAGGAGATGACCTGCGCGGGGTGGCGGGGGGGACGGAGGAGTTGGGATGTGGTAGAGAACAGTAGCCTGGGGTTGTCCTTCGCCTCCAGGATTATCCTGGAGTAGAAGGACGATTTGGCCGAGGCTAGAGTGGAGCGGTAGATTTTGAGGAGGTCCAGCCAGATTTGTCGGTGGACCGTTAGGCCAGATTTGACCCAGGTGCGTTCAGCGGCCCGCACCTGGCTTTTCAGTGAGCGGAGGTGGGTGGTGAACCAGGGGGAGGAGCGAGAGTAGGAGACAGTACGGGAGGTGATAGGGGCAAGAGTGTCAAGTGTGGAGGAGAGATTGTTGTGGAGGAGGGTGAGAGCAGAAGAGGGGTCGGTGAGGGTTGAAGGCCAGAGGGAGAGGAGTTCAGCGGACTCCAAGGCAGCGGTTAGGGATTGAGGGGGTAACTTCTTCCAAGGGCGGTAGAAGATGGTGGTAGGTCTGGTGGAGGTGGGGAGGGGGGTGGAGGTGGTGAAGGAGATGAAGTGGTGGTCGGAAATGGCCTTATCGGTGATGGTGACATCCGAGACACTGAGGCCCCGGGTGATCACCAAGTCGAGTGGGTGGCCGTGACTGGGGGAGTTGATGTGAAGGGAGAGATTGAGCGAGGAGAGCAGGGAAGAGAAGCTCTTATTTGGAGGCAAATAAGATCAGTTACCATCAGTGCACATCTCCTCTTTTTCAATTGATGCAGTTTGGATTTCAATATATTTATACACCTTTATACATTGTTTTGTGCATTCCAAATTACTGGCCATTAGCTGCCAACTCTGACATTCTGCCTGTTGAGGTGAATGTTAAAGATCCCACGACAAACTTTGAAAAAAGAAGGGAGTTTCTCCCCGGTGTCCTGACCGATCAACATTCCAAATAAAAATCTGATTGTTCACTTCATGGCTGTTTTTGGACATTGCTTTGTGCCCATTGACTGCCGCGTTCACCTACAAAATACACAGTCACTACACTTCACAGAAGATCATGTGAAGTACTTTGAGACGTGGAACACTGTTATGGACAAATAAGCTGCCATTTTGCCTCCAAATAAGAGCTACACTTGGCAGCTATTCCCTTCGCATTGTTAAAGGGGCTTTATGGCCTGTATGGGCTGTAAGTATATATATCAAATGTTATTATTTATTTATAACTATTGTAGCCCTTCACGTCCACTACATTCCATGGTCCTGCAGTCTCCACTCAGAACCCATCTGCCTAAAGATAGATGATAATAATACTCACATTTATTATAATAATATTCCTTAAATTTGGTGTAGCGCCTTTCATGATATGAGGATGTCTCAAAGCGCTCCACAGGATTTACAGTAAAGTGGAGTGACTGTGTCTTTTCTGAGCAAACGCTGCAACCAATTTTTGCACAGCAGTGTCCCACAAACAGTCATGAAGTGAACGATCAATTCGCTTTATCATGTTGTCGAAACAACAACAGAGTTTTTCATGTAAGATAATGATTCAGAGCGGATCACAATGAAGGGATTGGATGTCAGGCAAGCCAGGGGCTGGGGAGAAAGAAGTGGGAGGTGACCATAGGCGCAGTCGAAGGTTTTAACACTGGAATTAAAGACAGAGGTGAAACAGAGGGAGTTCCAGATTTTTTGGGGTAAAGTTGAAGGCTCGGCCACTGATGGTGGGGTACACGCAGCAGGCCTGAGTTAGACAACTCGGCGGGGGGGGGGGGGGGGGTGAGCAGAGAAGTAGGATAACAGGAGAAACACCACAAGTGCTTCAAAAGATTTTTACTGCTAAGTGGACCGACTGTATTTGTAATTGAACCCATTGGAAACAGCACTCTAATGCCAATATAAAAATAATAAAGGAATGTTCACAAACAGTTATGAAGCACTCCAGAATGCTGAGGATTTTTGGTCAGGTCACCAGGAGAAACTTCCATCTCTTTTAAAGAACAACTTGTGTTGATACAGCACCCTTCCCATAGGATAGTGTCTCAGAGCGCTGCACATTGGCAGAGTTGGAAGGTGAGCAAAGGAGAAAGGTTTCTAGAGACTAAAATGGGAGCGGCGGGGGCAAAGAGGAGGGAGTTTTGAATGGGGGGAGGAACAGGAGGGTAACAAACATCAGCAGAATGAGATAATCAACATTTAAACTTAGAATAATATTTAAGAGAGGCAAAAAAGATTTGAACCAATTTGTCTCTCTTTATCCCCCAGGAAATTGAATGAATGCTCTTGTATTAAATTAGATGAACGCAGCTTCAAGATAGGGTTAATTACCTCTAATTTGGAGGGGGGGGAGAGGGGCGGAAGGCAGCAGTGATTAAGGGGTGGGGTTAGCACGGCATTGCAGACGGAGCTGGAGTGGTTTAAAGACAACAGCTGGGATACTGACCTCCTCCCCCCACCCTCTGCTGTAATCAAGCTATCAGCACATCATGTGCAGCCGTCTGCTCTCTCTCTAACCAGCACCACACATCTGGCCTGAGGACGGGCTCCCAGCATTCCCCACATGTCAATCGCCAATGTGATCCCCTCACCCCTCCTCTCTCTACTCCTTTCCCCCCCCTCTCCTTCCCTCCTCCTCTCCCTCCCTTCCTCCTCTCCCTCCCCTCCCTTCTTCCTCCTCTCCCTCCCCTCCCTTCTTCCTCCTCTCCCTCCCCTCCCTTCTTCCTCCTCCCCCTTCTCCCTCCCTCCTCTCCCTCACCTCTCCTTTCTCCGTCCTCTCACTCCCTCCCCTCCTCCCACTCCTTTCCCTCCCCTCTCCCTCCCCTTCCTCTGCCCTCTCTACCCTCCTCTCCCTCCCTTTCCTCTCTCCTCTCTTCTCCCCTCCCCTCTCATCTCCCTCCCTCTGTGTTCTGTCTGCTGACCTGGATTTTGCATCGAGATGGGTTGAGACGGCTGAGCTGGCAGACTCCTCAGATGTGGAACGTTGGAGGAGAGGCGGAAGCTCGGATTCTGTAAGGAGTATATCCTCTTCCAAGGAGTCGTCATTAACTTCTGCAAAGGGGAGTTGGTGGGGGGGGAGGTGAAGAGAGAGGGAGAGAAGACGGGAGAAAAAACAAAGTATCAGAAGACAGAGAACAATATGCACTTTTTACCCACACCCCCACTCCACTCTTTGTTTGAAAGAGTAAAAGGCACCAACAACAACCACAACAAATTACATTTGTACTTTCACATTTGCCTTTCACATCAGGAGGATGACCCAAAGTGCTGGACAGTCAGGGATTTGGATTGGACCTGGGGGTTGTTATCAGGAGGGGTGGAGGGCAGGGACGGTAAGGGGGTGACCGAAGGCTCAGTTGAAGAAGAGGGTCTTGAGATGGACCTTGCAGGAGGCATTGAAGAGAAACCCGCCTCCCCCCCAGATACATATAGAAGAACCCTCGCTCCCTGGGTTTTCTAATGCAGGTTCATAATCCCCCAAACATCACGTCATAACATGGCACAAAACCAAAATGGCCACCACAAAGTCACTTCCTTGGGCGCCTTGGGACGTCCTCCCGACGTGAAAGGCGCTCAATAAACGGAATCTTGTTGTTGTTGTTGTTCCTGTGCACTTTGCACAAGCGCAATAAGTGTCATCGAACTTAACTTCCTGAAAAATGTCTACTATTGCTGCACACGCATGCCCAGCATCCCACACTGATTTTCAGGTTGTTAGGTAATTGCCACTGCTGTACGTAAGTACTTCCTGAACATATCGCACATGCCCAGGGTGCAGGAAGTGACATCAATGGTGACCGACGACCAGATATCGTTGGCAATTTTTAGAATGCGGGAAGCCAATCCGTATAACAATAATCCTTGGCATACCCAAACCAAACCTTATAACAGAGCTCTACTATACATTATGTATACATAAATCATTTTCCCTTTTTACCTTTAAAAGCCTCTTCAAAGGTCTTTGACCATAACTTTGCCCAACATACTCAAATGCATAATTACAATACAAATTTACAGCACTTTTCACGGCAGAAGGATGCCCCAAAGCACTCACTAGTATTGGTTGGGCATCTGAGCTGGGTGGGGAGTGGGAATGGTGACCAAAAGCATAGTCAAAGAGGCTGATCTCAAGGCAGCTTGAACAAAGTGAGCGAGGGAGAATTTTTTTTATTTTAACAGCAGTATTGTCTGCCTATTCAAGTGAATGTTAAAGATCTCATGGCGCTATTCAAGAGAAGGGAGTTTCTCTCAGTGACTAGGTCAACAATCCCCTTAATAAAAAAACATGGTCACTTCATTCTCACTTAATGACATGTGCATGCGACTGCCAGGATGGTGGAAGGCGAACTGGATGGTTATTGAATTTCTTTCATCAAACAATTCTTATATTCTGTTGTGCCTGTGCGCAAATTGGCTGCCGAGAACACCTATAAAATACAGTCGCTACACTTCACTGTGAAAAGTCCTGTGAAGCGCTTTGAGACAACTTGATATGATAAGACGCTATGTCAAGTGCAAGGATTATTATTATTATTAAGTTCACTCTTTTGCCCATTTGTTCCCATCCTTCCAGCATGCCAAACCCAGCGTCCTCCCATTGCCGCCCTGTATCAAATGCTCATCACATTATTGTCATTATTTTTGAACAAACCTGGCAGCCAAGGATATGATCAATTTTATTTGAGGGAGTGTCGCCAGGCACATCAGAACATAAGAGTTGTTCGACGAAAGAAGGCCAATATCCATCCAGTTTGCCTTCCACCATCCTGGCAATCGCATGCACATGCCATGTCCCAAACCATATATTGCATTCTGAGATATTATTTCCTAACAGAAATCTGTCTAACAGATCTCCTGGGCACATCTCTTTTTCAAGGACTGCCTTGGGACCACCCCCAATTCCCTCTCCCCAAACACTGCACTGGATTGTCAATTGAGGCTGCAAGTTCAATACATGATCACCGCACTTTACTGTGGGAAAAACACCCACGCTCTGTGTTCTTTGAGACGTCTCAGTGCGATATGGTGCTACATCAAATGCAGGGATTATTAAGGAAAATGAGTCAGCCTAAGACATTCCACAGAGAGCCTTTTCTGTAGAGGAAACGAACAAGGAATATCTCATGCCTGCCTGCCTATAAGGAGAAATCCAACCCAGAAAACCATTGCTGTTCCTGAACACTCATAATAAACCTGGGCACTTAGAAACCATCTTGTGTAGTTTCAAAGAGTGTTTTACTATCAATTTGACCCCAGTTCCAACCACACAAGAGTGAGACATGACCTACGCACCTGTTTCACAGCGTGGTGCATTGCAATATAAACCCAATATGATCTGAGCTTATGCCATCGATTCCCTCCCCCTCCCCGTTCACCCTTATCTCGCCTGAGCCTTTATTGTACGCAACATTAGTGCCAGGTCATGTCACCCATCAATGATTCATAGACTACAATTCCTGGAACAACCCAAGCCTGTGGAACAGATCATCAAAGTGGCCTCTGCTGTTCAACACATCAGCAGTGTTCAGCATTCAGGCAGAAACCTGCTCGAAAATTGCAATCATCACAATGGGAATGCATGAGAGAAGGGGAATAAGAGGAGGGGGAAGAGGGGAAGGGGTCATTTGCAAGTTACACAAATTGATCTCTGAAATAATAATCCTTGCATTTGATTTAGCGCCTTATCACGTCGTTGTCACGTCTCAAAGTGCTTCACAGAATATACCATAAAGTGAATTGAGGTGAGTGCTCTAACCAATATATTATACTGGACTCCAAAAATACAATACAAAATTACATTTGTAAAGCACCCGCCATTCACTTCAGGTGGCCAGGATATTGACAGCATGTGGTAATTAGTGACAAGTTAAGCCACGATTGAGTTATCCATTTGCTGTACTTGGTACAAAAGGGCATCAAGGAGTATAATAATAATAATCCTTGATTTTGATACAGCGCCTTTTATGTCTTCTAGACGTCTCAAAGCGCTTCACAGAATATGCTGTAAAGTGAATTGACCGTATATTTGTGGGCGAAACGTGGCAGCCAATTGCGCACAGCAGTGTCCCACAAACATTCGTGGATTGAAAATGATCAATTTATTATTGTTTTGCTTTGGAGGGATTATTATTAGGCTCTGTGTGGAGTAAGGAAACTTGCCCAAGGTTTCGCCCTGCCTGGAATTAAACCCAGGTGTTTCGCTTGCAAGGCGAGTGCTCTAACCACTGAGCTACAGGACTCCAGTATGTAAACAAGACGAGCAAAATGGGATGAAAACAGCGGGCAGGACCTGATACACTGGTGGAATGGCTGACCCGTCCTTCTGATGTGAAAGACGCTACGTCAAATGAAAAGATTATTATACCTTCACACAATTTCTAAAGACAGTAAAGGTGGAGCAATGAGGCACTGCTGATAACAGACCAACCGATAATAAAAGGCAGTGAGAGAGAGAGAAATGCAATTATCTAGCAATATCAGTAACAGGATAGCATGTGATCTAACTGCTGGACCTATTTGCCTGTGAACGTGTTCACACACCAGCGATGTTTAAAGCTTAGCGCTTTTCACAAGCACTGATCTGCTATGAATAAAAAAACACTGGTGGATCGGAGGGGGAAGTACAGTAGGTTGAGCCACCCGTGCCCCCACCCTTCCAAAAAAAGGAGTATTACTTCCTAAATGTTCACAATGCTGAACACAAACCAGAAACACAGGTGTTTGCAACAGACACCAAAAGATTCTTGTTCTCCTGTAAACATCAGCCTGGTTCAGTTGGTAGCACCTTTGTCTCTTAAGTCAGGTTGAAGCCCCTCGGTAGGACTTTTGAGCTCACAGTCCTGGAAATTTCTATGTGTAGGTGACATACATAGAACTTCGGTTTGGATACTCTTAAGCATGATTTTGCATTCTGCACAACAATTCTAGGACTTCGACTTGACCAAGCATTGACAACGCTACCCAACATTTATACATGTCTTTCACATCGAGAGGACATCTCAAACTGCTTCACAGAGCCAACTGGGAGTGGGAGGCAGCAATTATCCTAAAGCACTTTGAAACATTGACAGAATAATGCCAGTTCTTTCTCCTTCCCCCTTCCCTCCCCGTGTTCTTCTGAGGTTACGCACAATGGCACAAGAAACGTGAAATGCGTCCATAATGAAGGCTTATCTATTAGTGAAGCTGGGAAAGGTACTGGGTGTGTAAATTGCCAATCTTCCCTAAGGACTCCAATCAACATGATGCTGTTATGAACAAGCCTAACCTGGCACTGACAATCATCTCGAGGCTTTCGACTAAGAATTCAAATTGCATCAAACCCAAGACTTGTGATTGCAATTGACGATATCAGGAACCATGCACAGTTATAGGGCAACCCAATTCTTCGACAGATTGATTGGAGGGCAGCACAGAGGTTGCAGTGGATGGAGCTACAGCTCATGGACTGGAAGCTCACTGCTTTGGGTGAACACTGCAGCCAATTTGTGCACAGCAATGTCTTACAAACAGCCAGTCATGAAATGAACAACCAATTTTATGTGGGGGAATTGTTATATAATAATCCCTGCATTATGTGCCTCATCATATTGCTGAGACGTCTCAAAGCACTTCACAAAATATACTGTAAAGTGGAGTGATCTCTCTCCCCCCAGCGCTGCATTGAAGTGTCAACTTAAACAATGTGATTCCAAGTCCTGATGTGGGGCTTGAACCCACAACTTCCTGAGGCGAGAGCACTACCACTGCACCAGGCTGACCCAATGAAGCTGGTGTTTCAGTGAGCGAAGACAGAGTAGTGGACGGCAGCCACTGCCACTGAAGACATAACACTGAGGTTACTGTCCCTCCGTATTATACACTTACAGACAAGGCAGCCGTGCCAAGAACAGGAGGTTGAGCCACATTCTTCCCAGTCAGTTCCTTTTAACCCTACAAGCCAAAGCCATACAACAACAACAAGATTGCATTTATAGAGCGCCTTTCACGTCGGGAGGACGTCCCAAGGCGCTGGACAGTTGGGTCGGGACACGAGCAGCGGGGAAATGGTCAGGGGGAGGGAAGGGAGGGAGCGAGGAGGGGGTAGAGAGTCGATAGGGGAGCTGAAGGCACGGTTGAAGAGAAATGTCTTGAGACCGGCCTTGAAGGAGAAAAGGGAGGAAGCGGCGAAGGCACTGGGGGACGGAGTTCCAGAGCCTCGGGGCTGAGAGGCTGAAAGCCCGGCCACCGATGGTAGGGCGGTTAGGGCGGGGGATGTGGAGAAGACCGGAGCCAGAGGAACGGAGGGTACGGGCAGGTAGGTAGGGGGATAGTAGGTCGGAGAGGTAAGAGGGAGCAAGGCCGTGAATGGCCTTGTAGTGAGGATGAGGATCTTGAATTCGATCCTCTGGGGGATGGGGAGCCAGTGGAGGCGAGCGAGGGTGGGAGTGATGTGGTCCCGAAGCCTGGTGCGGGACAGTACACGAGCTGCAGGGTTCTGAATGACCTGCAGCTTGTGGAGGGAGGTGGCGGGAAGGCCGGCGAGGAGAGAGTTCCCATAGTCCAGCCTTGAGGTGATAAAGGCGTAGACCAGTGTTTCAGCAGCGTGAGGGGTGAGGTAGTGCCGTAGTCTGGCGATGTTCCGGAGGTGGTGGAAGGCGGTGCCAGTTGTGGTGCGGATGTGGGGAAGAAAGGACAGCTCAGGGTCGAACAGATTAGGTTAACCCTAACGGTTAGGGTGATCCAGGCTCGACACAGGCAGCGGGAAAGCTTGCCAGGCAGTGATGTCGTGGAGTTCTGTGCGTAGTGGTTAGAGCACGCACCTTGCAATCGAGGACCCGGGTTCGGTTCCCAGATATGGGGTGATCTCAGTGCTCCCACGGGAGATGGGATGTTGAATAGAAAGACTCCTGCTCCAGCTCCGCGTGACCACCAGCTCAGACCACATTTCAGCAGCACCATTGCTGCTTTTTTAGTGGTAAAAAAGCCTCCCAGGAGGCTAAGAAATCAGACCACTGAACATCCTGGTTACCATCACCACAGCCCCAGGGAACAGCTCATTCCCTTCCCTGCCCCCATCCTCACTCATTCCGGAGCCACAATTTCTGCTCCCCACCAGCAGGGCGTACTCCCACCTCATACTGCTGCCCCACCCGCTGCACGGGCAGAGAGGGCTAGGACACTCGGAGAAACTCACTTCTCTTTCGAGTACTGCCATGGGATCTTTAACATCCACCTGATCAGGCAGACAGGACCTCGGTTTAATGCCTCAGCTGAAGGACGGCACCTCCAATTCAGCACACACTGAGCACTGCACTGGAGCAAAACTCAGGCTACATGAGTTCCAAGCCCCAACGTGGGGCTTCAACTCACAACCTTCTAACTCAAGAGGCAAGAGCACTATAAACTGAGCCAGGCTATATCGTGTCCAAATTGTGCGTTAGAAATACAATAAATTGCATTTATATAGCAATGCTAAACTGGGAGGAGGAGTGTGTGTGACCATAGGCCCGATCAAGGAGGTAAATTTTAAGGTGGAGCTCAGACACTGAATAGGGTGCGAAGAGAGCTGGGGGGCGCACAGCAAGCCTGAGTTAGCCATACAGAATGGTAGGGGCTAGGGGGTAGTGGCGAGGGTGAGAAGGGAGGGGAGAATGGCAGATCCTATGGTGTGAGCAATACAAGGATAATCACTGAGCATCAAAATATCTTGGGTGTTAAAAGGTGAAAGTATAGGTTTCTGCTTCTTTTCTCTGCTAACGGGATTGTTGGCCAAGACACTAGGGGAAATGCTCTGCTCTTTTCGAAGAATGTGACAGGATCATATTAAATAATTACATAATAATAATCCTAGCATTGATACTCTGCTCAGCAGGCTCTGGCTCAGGCTCTGGCCTGCTCCACGTCCTCTGCCCGGCCCACCCCACCATCAGCAGTCGTCCTCCCGACGTGAAATGAGCTTTACATATGTAATTTTGTGTTGTATAGGAGTGTATTATCCAAGTTCAAAGTCCTGACGTGAGTTTGAGCCCATAACCTGCTGGCTCAAGAGGTGAGAATTCTACCATTTGAGCCACGCTGACAAACACAATGCATCATCCAGGGATGAGGGAGGGAAGGCATGTGCACTGATGTACTCTAAATTAATTAAAGGCAATAACAGAAGCTTCTAAGATCAATCTGTAGTTCTGAGTCTAATTAGCGTTTCTTTATTGTTTAAAAAAAGGAATATCACTAAGCTTTGTATAGCATTGAGCTTTGAAATTAAGAACAAAAGGTGAACATAAAGATTCAGCCCATTTCATTAGCATCGAATTTCTCGTTAATTATGAAAATCTGCACTTGATATAGAGCTTTATCTCAAAACATCTCAGAGCCACACACATAGCAAGTTACTCTTTATTGTAACTCTCTAACAAAATACTAATAATCCTCGTATTTCAGCGATTTGGGACGTCCTCCCGACGTGAAAGGCGCTCTATAAATGGAATCTTGTTGTTGTTGTTGTATTTGATAAAGCACCTCATCACGTCATTGAGACATCTCAAAGTACTTTACAGAACATAGTGTAAAGTGGATTGACTATATTTTGCGGGTGAAAATCGGAAGCCAATTGCACAAAGCAGTGTCCCACAAATAGTTGTGGATTGAATAACCAAATTTTTTTTTCTTTTTGAAAGGATTATTAACCCCGGAAAGCAATCCGCCAATCATCTAGCAACCGGGTTCTTACTTACTGCTAGGCAAACAGAGACGTGTGGAGTAAGGAAACTGGCCAAAGGTTTCGTCCCTTCCAGGAATTGAACCAGGGTCCTCTTGCTTGCTAGCCACGTTTTCTAACCAATATGCTACAGGACTGCATCTCGTTGGTTCATCCACAAACACAGTCACTGCACTTTAAGGTATATTCAGTGTCTTGAATGTCCTCCCGACATGAAAAGCGTTATATAAATGTAAATTAGTATTTTTTATCAATTCTTTACATTTTAGGTGGTCTATTGAACACCATGAACAAATGAGTGCATTATACATAAGGGAGTCTCTCTCGGTATCCTGGCCAACAATCATCCCAATCATCACCCACCCCCCCACACACAGAAAAAAAAGGTAATTTGCCGGTCATTTGGTTGTTTGCGGGACATTTCTGCGCTCAAATTGGCTGCCGCTTTCACCTACCAAATACATAGTTACTCCACTTTACAGTAAATCCTGTTAAGGCCTTTGAGACACATCCTCCCGACATAAAACAGCACTGTAGCAAACATAACGGTTATTATAATTATTATTGTAGCAACTTAATCCCACTTTCCAGCTCTTTCCCTATATGCCCATAGTAAGGTTTGTTTATTGCTTAGGTGCTTATCCAGTTGGCTTCTGAATGACCCTATTGATCAAGTCTCAACAGCTGCAACTGCAGTGAATTTCACAATTGAACGTTCCTTTGATTGAAGAGATTCCAAATAGAATCATAGAAATTCACACAGAAGGCCATTGGACCCATCCTGTCTTTCAATCCCATTTTCCCCATAATAACCTCTCCTGAGTTAGTGTCTTGGAGTATAAACACTGGTTTGGACTAGTTGGGCCAAATAGTAATAATAATCCTTGTATTTGGTTTAGTGCCTCGTGACATTGGAAGGACCTTTCAAAGCACTTCACAGGATTTACTGTGAAGTGAATTGGCTGTGTATTTCCAGGCAAATACAGTAGCCAATTGCACGCAACAATGTCAGACAAACAGCTATGAAAGAAGTGACCAATTTTAGTTGGGGGATTGTTGGTCGACACCAGGAGAGAGAAGCTCCCTTCTCTTTTCGGAAAGTGCCATGGGATCTTTAACGTCCACCTGAACAGGCAGACCTCGTGTTCTGCAAAATACTGCAGATGCTGGAATTCTGAAATAAAAACACCCGTCAGAAAGGTCATCGACCTAAAATGTCTCCTGTCTTCATAGATGCTGCCTGATCTATTGAGTGTTCCCAGCGCCTTCTGTTTTTACAGGCAGATGGTATCTTGGTTTAACGTTGTATCCGAAGGCCGGCTCCTCCGACAATACAACTAACCCAAGCACTGCATTGGAGCGGCAGCTTAGACAAGTCCTGACATGGGATTTGAATCCACAAACTTCTGACTCAAGGGCAAGAATGTTACACTGAGCCAGGCTGACACACCAATGGCTGTTTCCATGCTGTATAAGCTACAGTCCAAGTAAGTGCCATTAACTACTGCAAGGTACAACAATTAGGACACACAACAAAATCCTTGGGAACAACTGAAGTCCTGGAACGAACAATGGATAGCTGCCAAACATGGCTTCTTATGGCTATCAGTAACTCTGTATTCCCAGCCACCTGGGGTTAGACAGGACCACCGTGTTCTACGGGGGAGGTGGGGTGGGGGGGAAGAGGAGAGAGATGCAAAGGACCCACTGACAATAATCAGCGTGTATGTTGGATCTGGTCCCAAGGACAGAATGCAGGGAGGGAGGGAAGGAGGGAGGTGGAAAGCAGCTGTGTTAATGGAACTGTAGAAATGGGATTCTTTTGGCCACACTGTGCCTGTCTTCAAATGAAATCCCACGGAGCATGCCTTCACCACTGGCCTCAGTGTAAATACAGGAAGCAGAGCCAATGCCAAGTCTCAAGCAATCTTTGCGAAATGTGACCCATTGGCTACTTAAGACGCTTTACACTGAAAAACTGGTGAGAAGCAAAGAGCGCTGTGGAACAATCAGTGGCTGACAGCATCTATTAATCAAACTGTGCTTTGCAGTGGCTCACAGCCCCAAACACATCGCAACGGAAGAGAGACCAACTGCATTGAGGTTAACCCACTGTAAACCACAGTACTATTAGTTTTTAAATAGGATACAACGCCTTTCACGTTAAAAATAATCCTTGCATTTGATAAAGCGCCTT